ACTAACCAAATGCTTTTACTGTGAAATTGGCTTCGAATTCAGCGTTGGCCTTGAAAATCTATTGCGCGTTTCGATGGGTCTGAACATTAGGCTTCCAAGGCCAGAAACTGAATCATTTTCCTTCTGTAGAAATGTCCGAAATAGTTTCCTCATTCCAAAACGTAGCCCTCCCATGTTCTGGTATAGCTAACACGGTTTAGTGTTCCAGTTACACCCGTAACTGTAGCATTTCAATTTCTGACACCGGATTTACTCGGCGTGAGCGCACCGTCCCGTTGCTTCTAGTCGTCTTTGGGGGAGAAGGGGGGCATTTAAACAGGTCACGGCTAGATGGTCGTTGAGTACATGAAATATGATTGAATGCACGAGTGCATCCTTCAGTTGGGCTGAACAAGGGCGCGTTCGGGCACGAACTGAGTCTGCCACTGTCTGTAAGCAAATATATGCACAGAAGTTAACCCGCTGGTCTGAGATAGCTACCACACTGTAGGTTATCAATTTCACTTATTGTTTGAGAAATCTATTTTTTGACTTGCATGCTTGGGCGAAGTGCATCCACAAGAAGTGTCCGCGTTGGACTACACAGTCGCACATCTTGCCCAAAGGGGCACAATCACACCAGAACACCATTTTGATCCTGTTGTTCATAAGTAACGACTTATTAGCCGTTTCCCGGCTAGTTACATCGATAGAAAACAGAGTGGATTCTTTCCTCAAGGGTATTAGTGGGGCAAGTAAAATTTTTCTTTCTCGGAATTCCAACTCAACACCTCAGAAGTTTGAAGCCGACTATTTTGCCATCGTTTTACTAAGCTCCTCACTTTTATAACAAGCGAGAGAGGAGAAGTAGAAAAATTGCGTTTTCCCCATTGCGAATTCCACGCTCATGCATCGCAACTAAGAACTACGTTAATCGAAAGTAAATTTGCCTTAAAATTATCAGCAGCGACGACTTTTCAGTAGCCATCTCACACACTAGTATAGCAATATGATAATAAAAATCAAAAGCCACAAACGGAAACAGTGGCAAAAACGGATACCTTATAATTTTCATATGTTGGTAAATGAATTGTAAATATGCAAATTGGCAGGACAGGACGTTTTGAACAGATTTAGACATTTGTATTCTGTCTTCTTCCGAGCTCTCAGTTGTCAACGGAATCATGGAGATTTTGTGCGTCTTAGATTTCCTACATATGCAAGCCTATCTGAATCAGGAGGTGGTTTTATAGTAGGTATTAGTAGGTACTGCAGACGATTAAGAGAAGAGACAAAAATGGAATCGATTAGGTTTATGTTGGATTGTACAAACTGCAAAAAAGTTTTCTTATTCACATGAAAACACTTAATTACTATTACGGGAACCTTCAGAACAAATCAAACGTAAATTGGTCAACTTTATGCTGACAGGAAATACATCAACGACGGATGCGGATATTCTACTGAAGAAGGAATGAAGGCGCTAAACAGCAACATTGAAGTCTGTTGAAATGTCTGGCATTTTTAGAAGTAGCTTGACTGTTTATTGGCCATCTATTCCACAGTACACCGAGCTGCATATTCATGTCTGCAATGGTTTCATCCGATCAACATGATGGTCTTAAAACGATCCTAGTAGCAAACTTGAAATCGAAACTACAAGAAGTTCATTCTGTTTCGCATGAAAGTTTCACTGAGTAAATTAAGTCAAGGAAGAGCGTAATTATTCCGCATTCATAAACTAGAACCGGTAACAATATAGCAAAATGAACACGATAATTCATAAAATGACGAACTACTTAACACTGACCTTTATTAAGCAATGTCGCTGACCGGTAAATGTGTTTCTTGACACGCACTGCGCAACCTGTTATAGAAGAGATAGATTCGTTGTTTAGAATGTTGTTGCCACCACTAACGACGCCACAATGTCTGATTCAGCCATTCACAGCTCTAAGTCCTTTAAGAGAAGGCTACTGCGCCTCGAAACAGGTTTCGGATATTTCCTAGTTGCTTTGAAGTTATACGCGAACAGCCAAGCATATATCCTCGGAAGAGTATGCAGATTAAGGAAGAATGCACGCATGGACAAAAATTATGATCACATCTTTAGGTGCATGCAATACCCTCTGGGCATGCCGATGCCATATGAAGTCACTTGATGGTGTAACTCCAATATGTTGTATATC